GGGGGGGGGGGCAGTTGTAATATTAGGGGGGTTTAATCATCATGGGAAGCGATTATTGCAGACGGAAGGCTTCAAGCCACGTGCAACCGGACCAGACATGTGTGGATGTAATGGCTTGAGAAAACTCGTGCATGGTTGATGGCCGATCGGGGTGCTAGGAAATCCCAACTCCACGCAATTCGGTCTCGATTTCATGCTGTGGGTTCCCCCCGAGTACTACATGCAAAAGACTCCGGCAGCGACCTCGACTCGTATGACTCGTCACAGCAAAACTCTGAACCCCGACGCTAACCACGATTGTCGCAAGATCTACATCATTTTTGCCCAGTTCTTCAGGCGGACAGACAGGTGCTGCATCACAGAGTCACAAATGCAAGGCAAAGAAGACATGCAAAGGTTAGTGGTCCAGGGTTTCTGAATGGGGCTTAGGGTCTGTGGTGAATGTTTCGGATTTGCGATTAAGGTCTACTGTAGGGCTTAGAGAAATTATAAGGTTTACAGTTCTGGTTTGGGGTTCAGCGACCTCCCCTGAAGCCACGCTCCGTAGAAGTTTTCCATAGTTTTCCAGTGAGTTAGCGGGCGTTAGAGCATCGCGTCACCGCCTCATGTGCCGCCGGGCACCGGCACGTTGGCCTCAAGGGACCCTGAGAGAGAACTCTCTGTGGCTCAAACGCCCCACACCCGGCCAGCGGTGTGTGAGACGTTGAGTGGACTGTCAACAGCTCGTGGGTATTAGTTTCCACGATCCAGGTCCATGCACAACACCTCCTAAAGCTACACCCTTCCAGGTCTAGGCTTTGGGATTCAGGGGCTCGCCTTATACGTTGTGATATTCCAGGTCCAGCGTTTCCAAGCGATGGCGTTTGGCCCTGCACTTGTAGCAATTGCAATCACAAGCTTCTAGCTCAGCAGGTGCACAGTCTCTTGCCACTCTTGCCATCCTATCCTAATCCAAAACTGTCTCAACTCCACCGGGATGTCCTTCGGCTGCCGAGCTTGTCTCGCTGGGCCTGCGGCCCTGAAGGGGCGGGAGGAGTAGAACAGCTATGAACTCGATTGTTTAAAGCCCAAAGTCCGCCTCGCCGCTTGATGCCCCCTCGGCGGACGCTGCCGCCGACTCCATCTGTGCCCCTGCATCTTTGAAGGTTGAAACCTACTCCACAAATACAACACACAAGACCCCTTTCTCGCAGGCCAAGAGAGCATGACAAAACCAGACTCCAGAGTACCCTGACGCCCTGAGCCGCGCGCCATGCGGAGCATCTCTGCGGCCCCTGCAAGAAACGCTTGCAACCCTGAGCCAGAAAAGGTATTCATACGCGACATGGGCGACGACTTTTCGGGTAGCCGGGGCATGCTTCCTGGTTTCAGCAGCGCCTGAGCTTGCAGTGGTCTTTCTCCGCCATGCTAAGACAGGGCAAGCATAACCGCAGCATTCACTGAGTGCAGTGGGTCGCCCACCTGCAAGCAGAAGTAGGCTGAAGTAGGTGTTACCACAGTGCGGGAGGTGATGGCATGTCACGAATCCACGAAGCTGCAAGCTCCGACATCCCTGACTAGCGCCTCCTCGCTGGAGCTGAAGGGCCCTTGGCTACACCGCATGAAGATATTGGGGGCCGTGCTTTTGTCACCGTCGGAATCTGTCGACATTTGGATGGACTCAGACCGGATCTTTTCAGAATCCGAAAGAGGCCCCTCTTTGAGTTACGAGCAGAGGGACAAGACTATGGCAAACAACTGACCAGTGCTAAGGAGAAAGCTCTCCATCCATACGAGTAGGAGTCGTCTGCGCTCCTCTTCCGCCTGGCAGCTACATTACGGAGCTTCTGTTCGCCACAGACCTCTAGAACTCTATGGTGGTATGCCACTGGTTCTCAGATGTTCCGTGTTGGAACTCCTGTCTGCGCTATCGTAACTGCACAGTCCGCCGTGACAAACAGTCTCTACGCCACTCTGGAGCTGGAACCGAGCGGACAACGAAGGCCACAAGAGCTAAGCCGCGGAAACGGCTCGAACTGACCCCGGGTCGCCTCTCTTCCGCGCAGGCCCGGCATGGCCGTGGCCAGCAGGGAGTGGCGCCTGGAACTGCCGGAGCGCTTGCGGAGCGGCTCAGTGCTCTCAAGAAGCGCCCGGCAGCTGGACTTCAGAACCTCGGGCTCCATGGACCCCACCAAAGAGTTCCGGTGTGAGACACTGCCACACTCAGATAAGGTGTCTGTTTTAAGGCTCCCGGCGCAACATCTGTGCCGCTTTGTGCGCCAAGTGTGCTGCATTGCTCAACGTCATAGCGCCGGCCTGCTCAAATGAAAGGCAGTGAATTACCACGAGCCGAACTGCGGCTGCTGATGCAAGCATGCCTCTTTCATGAAGACTGCGCAGCCGACTTCCTTCTGCAATTCCTAGCGGCAGAGTGCTTGCAGCTCAGGAGAATTCGGCGGCACCCGGTGCGAGGCTATTGCGGGTTGTTACCTAAAGCTTGCATCCGTCCCGTGGAATGAGAAAACCTTCTGCGGCAGGTTGCTAAACGCTCTCCTCGGAGAGCATGCTGACAGCATCCACAATGTTGCTCAGCTCAGCCTCCAGGTCGCGACGGCATCACTCGACCTCTGCTGCCCCGAGCATCTCCTTGTGACATGCCTGCAGCTTCTCCAAAGAGGCCCAAGCTTGGAGCGAGCGCCTCATGACTGACGTTGGGGCCGTTGAGAGGCTCGGCAGAGTTTATCCAAATCTCAGGCCCGTTGCCGCTCCAAGGTCGCCCTCGCAGACAGCAGGGCCTCGTCACAACGGGCCGAGCGATGGGGAAGCCTCACCGGTTCACCTCTGACGAACTGCGCCGGGCGATGGCTTTCTCCCGCACCTGGAAGTTCAGGCCAGCCACGCCCAACCTCAGAACACGCGGGATATCTTGACACGTCGGAAGCCCAGATGCTCAAAGAAAAGCCGTGCATGACATGCGAGCAGCGCATCAGAAAGTTGGCCCAACTGAGGATGGCCTACCTATCCTTACAAACAGCCTCAGTTCCAGCCCCCTGAGACTCACACAGTCCCGCATGCTCAGGCGAGAGGTAGTCTTGCCGCCTGGAAGCACTGGCAAGCGTGCCGTTGTGTTACCTAGACCACACTATGGCTGGCCAGCACACACACACACAGAGCCGGATCGAGTTTTGCAGATTTCTGTCGGCTCTTGTGTCGTTGATTCTCCAAGCCCACCACGTCAGGCTGTCGACAAGCTCTTGCAGCTTGTGCGTCGCAACTTTATCAGCTGCCTGTCAGTTTCGCCGCAGAGAAGGTATGCCAGCCACGAACAGAATGCTCCGAACCCCTTTCATTTTTTGGGATGTGGGCGGCTTCCGTGTTGGTGCCCAACAGCATTAGGATACTCAGACCCCAAACTCCCAGAACCCTAAACCTCAAACCCTGAACCTCACAACCCGAAACCTGTAGACCTGAAACCCTCGCCTCCTCAACCCTAAACCTGAATCCCTAAAGCCCCAAACCGGGGCCTCAAGCTAGCGTTTGCTGGGATCCCTTGCCAAGGCAATTTCTTCAACACTCTATATAGTCTCCAGTAGAGTTCTCTTGTTGGGTGCAACTACGCTATAGGATTCTAACCATCAACTTGGTCAGCCAGAAAAGGAACTGCAGTGGAGACCAGTGCTTTGGGGATTCGGAGGGGTGCTAAGCCCTAAAGTCTAGGGCTCTGACCCCATATTCCTGAACACAGGCGCACCAAGACTACTTCCGGACAGTTCGTACATGACCTTGACAGAGCTAGATGTACCCTAACTAGACGTATCCTACTTACGAGAGCACCCAGCAACAGCACACAACCTGACCTTTTCGTTTGAGAGCACCAGCATTCAGCATTTCCCAACAATCAATATCATGCAACATGTGCTTGGTTCTGTTGGTACTTGTTTCTGCCATACGCCCCCCGCCCAAACAAGATATGACAGTGCAATGCCGTACGGACGGGTGTTGCAGGCCTCTAGAAAGGTCCTGTCGTCTCCAGTACCCTTCAAGGCCTGCAGCCCTGTACGGCCGCATACGGCCCCCGTAAGTAACCGGTCAAGTGGCGTGTGTAACGGGTTTAGGGTTTAGGGCTTAGGGTTCAGGGTTTCGGGTGTGGGGCTCCGGGTCTAAGGGAAGCCATACCAAATAGAGCAGGGCTTTGGGGTATCGTATACTTTACTCAGTACTCTAAAATCATAACAGGGAACCTTAAGGAATATATTGGCAGTTCATGATTGAGGCTCCTGTTCAGGCTTGATTTTTCTTTGCCCACCGTTGTTGATACAAGGATGCCTCACCATTGCTTTACAGACTATTCTGGGGGTTTGGTACAGTTTGGTACTAGTTTACAGCACAGTTGTCCCAACCAAAATAGCACAGTCAATAACTCTAAGGGTCCAAGTACATGATAATCGTTGCGACCTACGAATCCTATCACCCCTAACTCTAACCCAAATATCCAATTATCAAATCCACTAAACCCTGAAAGCCTGTTAACCACCAAAAAAACATTTAGAACCCGCGTAGAGCCTTGTAAGAACTGCTAAACTTAATTAGCTCCTTTGGACCCAATTTATGGCAAGGACAAAAGCTAGATCGACACATTCCAAAGCTAACGGAAAGACTGGCAGACAGGTACCTTGAGGATTCAATGACCCGTAAAGAGAGCGGCCCTACACTCTTGCATGGAGCATGGTAGGTTGGGTGCCTCCCACTGTCTCAGCAGGCTCTGCAGTCGTGAGAAGCTTCGATGCCTCCGCTTGCAGATGCTGTCATCGCGAGCGAGCAGGGTCTTACTTGCTGCCGTCAGACCCCGGTCAGCAGGACTAGGGCAGAATACAACCCAACCACAGTATTCAGTCTTGGGGTCTTCTGGCAGCCTCTCAAACGGGCACTTGAACAAAGGGTTGTGTTGCCTCACTGGTCGGCCGGTCGGTAAACGGAGCTGAACTTGAGGCGAGCACGCATGCGTCGCAACACGCGCATCCATGGCTGTTGGGCACAAGATGGCGTAAGAGACAAGATAAGCTGGACTTGAGTCCAAGCCCAAAATTCCGAAAGCAGCACAGCTCTGTGCCAGTCTGTTTACAACAACCAATACCGCACAGGGTGTTTCATCTCAACACACCATGACTGTATAAACAGTTGTCCGATAGTTAGCGAGTACTTGGATGACACTCGATGCAAAGCTCACCTCTGGTCTTGGATCCCTCGAGGAGCCAAACAGCTCGGACAGTTTCATCTGCACCCTCAGCCTTACTCCCTCAATCCAACTCAGCCTGAACCCAACACAAGGGGCTGTTGGGCGCCGGGTGCGACTTGTCGCGCTTTCGTCTTCATAAGAAGGATCCCGTCGACTCACAACCCTTTTGTCACTGAGCTTCGCTGGGAAGGGGCAGGCGCGCTGCCCCATGGCCCCATTCTCTCTCTGCAAGCAATTGGGCTTTCAAATGCCACGCTGATGCTCCGCACCCAACACTTTCCAAGAACCTCGCTGTAAGGGCCCTGTCTAGTCTACGTCGAGCTCACATTGCAGCTATGATCTCGTAGTCCTCCTCACTGACCTGCTCTGGCCACTGAACCCAACAAAGCGGCATTTCCCTCTTCCAAACCTCGAAGGACTTCAGCATCCGCTCCGCAGTCGTCGATGCAGTTACCTTACGCCAAGAAGGCTCGATTATTCTGCTTCTCCGGCGAGGTTGCAACAACCATAACGCCTCTGCCATTGGTTCCCACACCCGCAACAGGCCCGAAAGACACCGTTATCGCAGCCGAGAGGGTTGAATGCCCCGTGGAAGGAATGACGAGAAACATAGCCGCGAAGATGAGGGTCGACGAAGAAATGAAAAATAGAGAAGTTGGCAAAGGGGGGGGGGCAGGTGTGTGGCTTCTTTGCAGCCCTTGCAGCAAACATCTTGGCGATTCCTGCTTATGATATATGCCCTCACATCCTCAAGCTTGGTGGGGGCCCCACCTGGAGCAAATAGCCGTCCGAGGTGTGTGCCTGCGATGTGCGTCACGCAGGTCACAGCGAGGAGGGCATCGACATGGAGTCACGAGCAAGCTGCAGCAGGAGTTCAGGACGCACCATGCGCTACCAAAATGAAACATCCTACACCCGCTCTGTGGCATGGAGCTCCAGCTGAAGGGTCGTGACCCAACCGGAACATGGAAACAGACACAAAGGTCTCGAGGCACCTCCGAATTGATCTTGACCTGGCTGTCACCAGACTTCCTTGGACCCGGAGCTGACAGAAGAGGCCGTGAGGTAGGGAGCGATGCGGAGTTCTTCGAGGCTCTCGTCCAGCCGAGAGACATCTTGGCGTAGACGGCAGAGTCCGTGTACGGGATCTCAGCGTCCGAGGACACTTGGGCCGCTTGGGGCAATTTCAAGAGCCGAGGGGCCAGAAGTCTCATGCTTGCAGCACCGAAGTCTGTGTGCTTCATGAGGGTCTCCTCAATAGCCTTCAGGACAAACAACTGCTGCAGCTGTGCATTCTGGAAGACCACACTCTCACACTCTTCACATGGTGCAGCGCTTCAGAATTCAGACACTAAGCGGCACAGAACCCATGACAGAATCTGATACAAAGCACAGTTGCAGTTCTCACCATGCACCCGGAGCTGTTCAGTGCCCTCAGACGGGCGCCTCTGACAAGACCGTGAAGCCTGTTCCCTTCAGCGCCGAGATCTGCCAGGCGGGTTTTCTTAAAGGTCTACTCAAGAACCTGCGATTTCCGGAATGCTGGGCTGCCACAGGTTCGGCACCTGCACATGGCCGACAATGCCAGGGTCGGGATAGCTCAGACCTGATGTTTTCCAGAGCTGGAGCTCAGTGGGACTGGGACTGGTCATCAAACCACCCCATGAGATCCCACATCCTCCATGCAGCTTGCCCACTGAGGGCATGGCTTTGTTCTAGCTGCTCCGCCTGGTCACCTTGCCACAGCATAAACAGTGGCTGTCAGCTGTTTTGGTTCCAACCGTGTTCAGACCGGCCGTCGCCTTCCAGCCGGTCCACCTTGTTGTAGACCATAATTTGTGGCGTTGTCCTGGCTGACAGTGCCAGGGTTTAGATGCGAAGCATTACTAAGCCTGTCTTGGCACAGCTGTGCTACTAGTAGCTGTATCGAGCATAATCGTGATGCCTTGAACTCACCACTCAATTTCCTTATTCAAACCTACAATCCAGATTAAGCGGGCTTGGCGGACGGCTTAAATTTCCGCAGGCGCTTCAGCGTCTTGAGAACACTGGCGATCTGGCATGCAGATATCAAGGCTGCAGCACGAGCCAACTCAAGAGCTTTACTGTTTATCCCTCCCAACCCCAGCTCTGTTCAACGATTTAAGTTGACGCAGGCTCTCAAAGTTGCGGAAGCAACGTAGATGCCAAGACGAAACAAACAAAGAAATGCTAGCACAACATGTCTGTCGCACAATGACAAACCAAGTCCGACCCAACCACTCGCTGCATCCTCGCCTGCTGAGCAGCCATGGGAGAGGACACGTCGACCACGTGTAGGATGAGAGTTGTCTCGGAGCCAACAAACATTGCATAACTCTGACCTAAGTAAACCTACGTCGGAACTAAATTCAGAAACCGCGGGGTCAATTATGGAACCGGAATTCGGTAAAAATCGAAATTCTGGAACGTAATTCGTGGACTGCCTGGTCCAATTCCAGAACTGGGACGACCCAATTCGAGAACCTTGACGTCGAGATTCAGGAAACAGTGGGTCAAAATTCAGGAACCAGTGAATCTGTTCGGATACGCTGCTTCAAGACAGATATATAATTCCGGAACACACGTCACATGGATCTGACTTCGTGCATTTCGGCCACGCTGCTTCAAGTCAGATATCCAGAGCTTCCACGAATCGGGCTTAGGATTTCGGCCTTCGCCCTCAGGGTTTCGGCTTTGGGGTTTTGGCGGACTTAGGTTTTCGGCTGCAGTTGTGTTTATCGGCGAAACCCTAAGTCCGAAACACCAAGGCCGAAACCCGGAAGAAATCCCGAAGGCCGAAGCCCTGAAGCCGAAATCGCAAGGCCGAGACCATACAAAGGATCCCTGCAGCCGAAACCCTAAGGCGGAATCCCTAAGGCCGACACCCTAAGGCCGAAACGCGAAACCCTGAAGCCGAAGCCCTGGGGGCCGAAACCCTAAGCCCGAAACCCTGGGCCCTGAAGGACGAAACCCCAAAACTCTAGTCCCCAAACCCTGCCAAACCCTAAAGCCGAATCCCAAGCCGAAACGCCAAGTCCGAATCCCGAGGCCCGACCCAGCAGCCGGACCAGGCACGGTTCCTGAATTCGGCCCTCGTGGTTCATGAATTGGGGCCGTCGGTTTCCTGAATTTGGTCGTGTCTCCGATCCGCTGGGCCTGAATTGGTCAATTACGGGGTCAGCTCCTGAATCGGTCTACACTCCCTACGACGGCAGTATCACAATCCCCCAAGGACAGCTCTGAAGATCAAGGACCCCGGTGTAGCTTACCCTGAGAGCAGATCGTTGTCTGTGGAGCTGCACTTACAGGAAATGGCGAGCGCCTCGACCACCTCCTCCAAGGTGGCACGAAATCCGGCTACGAGCTGCTCAGGAAGCCTGACTCAAGCTTCCAGGGCTCTAGGACCCTGCGACCTCGACTTGCTGTGCTGGGCACAGGATCCAATGGTGGGATAGCACTGGAGAATCTACACTCATTTGCCCAAAGTCTGTAGAACTTGTGCCAGCACATCAACCCTCACAACATAGAATTACCAAGCCAAAGAGCACGACGGAAGACAAAGATCTCAAGAAAGCTGCCTACCCTGCCAATCTTGATGAACCCCATGCACATCTCGGCACACCCTCTTGCCTCTGGATGAAGCCGACCTGCGACGACTCCGGACTTGATGATTTGACTGGTTTTGATGTGGATCCGAGGCCACTACTGCAACATCCCCCCCCCTCTTCAAGCTTTCCATGACGAGTAGACACTTCTGACTACTGTGGTCACCTTAGCCAAATTCTTCATGCTCATGATCATAGCCGTGGGAACCCGGAGAGTATCCATTAGCAGCATGAGCACGTGCTTGGCCAGCCCCACCAGTTACTTGGTGCTCGGAAACTCTTGCCATGTCCAGGCATCCCACCGAAGGCAGGAGGCGTCCCAAGTGCCGGGCAGTGTCTGCAAGCATGATCTGACGACCGCCTTGCCATGAGAAGGAAGGGCAGAACTACGATGCGACCTTTCAACCCAAGTTGTGGTACCTGGAGCTACTACCAGGCTCGCTTCGAGCGGCAGGGAGAGTTGCGACACGATATGGGAGGTTACCTAGACTTGTGAAGCAACAGAGGTCAAGCTTGACCTCTGACACTTTAGAGCAACACATCGCTCAGCCTGGTAACGTCACAGAGCGCCGTGTGGGATCCAAAGTCTCAAAGAGGCGATCCTGACGATGGCTCTTTCCACGCCCGCGGAGACGCATGATATAACTTCAGTTCGTACACTCTAATCCAAGCTCATCTAGCCCAAGACACTGCCATATAACATAAGTTTAGCACCATATTAAATATAAAGCGGACTAGACTGAGAATAGATTAAACTACGTGGCTTCAAGCGCAGAGGCGCAGCAAAGTGCCAGGCCTTGGCCTTCACCTGCGCAGAAATTTGGGAGAGGGAGAAGGGAACGGCTCTCCTAAGGAATCCTTAGCCTTAGCCTTAGCCCTTCTTAGGGCCTTTAGGATCCTTCTGAATCATGGGTTGAAACCTAGAGCCCGGAAGTAGACAAACAGAGGGGAGCAGAACAAATCGCAAGAACATCAAAGACAGTCTACGTCAGCTTCAGCGTGCCTACCTGCAAACCTGATCCAAGCCTGCCTAAGCCCTCGCAATCTCCTGACCTCACTTACGATGCGGTTGATTTCCAGTTTCTTGTTTCTGCGGCTCGTTTCTCCTGGTCGTGGCCGCTCTGCTTTCCGAGCCATGTCTGTCTGATCCAATCTGACAAG